CTCTCCCCACCCCATTAGTAACTCTCCTGTTGTAGGTCCAGCACTTAGGACTGATGACTTCCTTCATCACGCATTGGTTTTGCGTGCAACGTCTGCTCGTCCCATGACGTCCACATCCTCGTGTATCTCGAAATCAATATTCTAGCCTCGACACCAAGTCTATTTGGCCGTCTAAAATGTCCGCAATAACAAGCAAGCAGGACAACAAGCTGCTCTTGCTCCCACACTGAATTCCCTTGGAATTGATGTAAGTTGTGTATCAGAGTCAATAATTCAAGATGCAGTCACAGTGGTTGAGCTAACCGCCCAGTCACTTTCCACTCGCCTCTGACTGCCCACCAGAGGCTGCTGAGGCAGGATGTGCAGGAGTCGGTATCATCCTAAGTCACCAAGTGGAAGGATACGTGCTTCACTAGATACGCGTTTATAGTTGCCTGTATGCAGTTCGTCTGGTAACGTCTTTGAAGGAGTCTCACGAGTGGGAACTTGACCGATGTCTGTTTGTCATGTCTGCTTATGCTTCATCTGACAGTCGCTCTGACACCATCAAAGACAAGTTTTACGACGCCTTGAGTGCCCTGTTACGTCCAGGTAGAAGGTTTGATGTCGTTGTGGTTGCAAGAGATCTGAATGCACGGATTAGCAGGCTTAGCGTATCTGAAACTCAATTAGAAGGTTGATATGGAATTGACTCGGTAAGCACGGACAATGTTGAACGATCCCTTCAAATTTGTGCTGATGGCAGGCTGTTTTTATGCATTACCAACCGCCGAAATAACGGTGGTCGTCTAACCACATGCTTTCCTCCACCAGCACTGCAGCTGGAAAACCAAGCTGATCACATCCCCACCATTTACCGATGACGCTGATCGATAACTAACTGCCGCTTGTTGTAACTCATGTTTGTGGATTCTGCCCATGTGCTTGTCCGGAGTCCGTTCTCCCTCCGTTTTCCAAGGCCCCGTAAGGTACGGACTAATCGCTTAGCAAATGAGAGACTGGCAGCTCCACGAGTAAGGAGAATTAGTCACAATCGTTTTCTCAAGTCTTCTAATTGCTCCAGAATCCGGTTTGCATTCATGCTGGAACGAGATCGCCTCATCTTTATTCACTGCCAAGAGTGCTACCTGTGGTACGTTGCTACCAGGTTCACTCACGTACTGCTTGAATCTCAGAGAAATCTCCCTGTCGGTCCGAAACATAATTTTGCCCCGACGAATCCTCAGAAGTCGAGTGAAAGAGAGCTTACGCGCCGATCGTGAAGCCTGATGGATGCGAAAGACTAAAGAAACAGAGGAGGCCCAGGAATTCGAGAATGCCCGAAGACTGTATCAGCTGATTTGTAACCCTGGATGGCGAACATGGAACACCCTACAGCCTCAGAGCTTCGTGACTGCCCACCAGCTTGTCCTGATGCCATCCCACCCGGGGAGGGGGAGTTCTCACTCAACACTTGTGTGACCTGTTTGCGTGCATCTGAGTAAAGAAGACTGTGTAGGAGACAAATGAGGGGGAGAACCGGTGATGGTACCCATTGCCAAAAGAGGGATGATTGAGTGTATGTAGCTGCATGGACTGTTGGCAGAACTTCTCCTTTGTCGTTCTATAGTGGCTCGTGATACACTTAGTCGACAATAGCGAGCGGGATTCCGGAATGGTGAGTTTGGCGTTTACAAAATCCTCACACTCCGTCAGCTGCTAAAACAACGTCATGGATATAAACCACCTAGAATTTTTGTATTACTGAATTTATAAAGCCTATTTGACTCGTATCACCGGTCTACTCTCTTTGATACGCTTTCTCAGCAAGGAATGCTCCAGGATATTGTGAACGTAAAATGTTCTTCGTACTGTCAGACTTCCTGGCTTGTGAGGTATACAGGGAACTCTCAAAAAGCTTCCGTACACAAGGCAGTGTCCGTTAGGAGTGCCTACTTTGTCTATTCTTATTTAATTTCGTGATCGATGATATGCTGAGATGAATGCCTTATGGTCTTCAAACCCCTGATGTTCAAATAGCTGTTGATGAAAGTCTTGTCGACCTCGAATATGCAGACGACATCGTGCGCGCCTTCGAGGAGGAGGGGAAAGCTCAGGTGTTTTACGATGAACTGACCAAAGTCATCCCGTACTTTGTCGTGCGCTTTGCACCCACAAAGTGTAAGGTCATGCTTCCAGACATGCAGTCAGTAAACAAGTCACTTACAATCTAGGAAGAGGCACTCGAAGTTGTGGAGCATTTTGCGTATCTTGGAAGTTGCGTTAGTTTTAATCCTAATGTGACAGATGAGGTTAATGCACCAATCTGCAAGGCTCGGGTTCCGTTTGCCAATTTGAGGCACCTGTGGCGTCCCTGAACCTCATGGGACCTCAGGCTACAGTGAGAGCTTCTTTGCTGTGTGGGTATCAGACTTGGCCTGTTCGATGGGCTGAAATGAGGCATCTTCAGGTGTTTGTCTCACAACTATATTTTGTGTGGGATGTTGTCGGCGAATCCGTGATGAGGCAATTAGAAAGTGCGTTTTCGGTTGTGCAACGGGGAATTCCATTGAAGAATGTGTCCAGAAGCTGCGCTGATTAAGGAATGAATTACTCATGCCACTCCATCGTTTACCGAAGAGCTTGCTGTTTTCCGTGCCTAATTCAAAATGCCGGAGTCAGAGAGTCTGATAACCTTTAAACTGACAGAAATATGAATGAGACCACAAAATGTCCAGGTCAAATCGCCCTGCAGGATCGGGAACACGTGATCCCCACTGCGCCTAGATAGAGGCGATGTAAGATATGGCTGTTAATCGATGTCAATGGCATTCTTTTTGTCAGCTTCTGTCCAGAATGCCTAAATGAGTGTCTCGAGGTGTAGTAACCCCAGAATGTGTACAGTAAGCCGGCACTAAGTCCCTTCCCTGTCCATCTTTGTTCTATTCTTCACAATAAGGCTTTCAAATACGTCTTGGCTGTACAGCAGCGAAGCATCAGTGTTGAACACTGATGTCATGCTGTCGGTGATGATGAGACAGTTATGCTTATTTCATAAAATCTTGCACTACTATATCACCGAAGTTATATCAACTGTTAACAATGTATGTGATTTAAGACAGCAAACTCTAACGTAGCATGTTAGAATGATCTACCTTATGCATCCTTCACTTTTAAACTGTTTATGGAGGTTGTCTTTTGCAGCACGGAAGCATTCTGTATCTGTTATTAGCATCCTCCTGTGTCTTAAACAACATGCGAGTGTTCTTCGTGAATGTGGTCGTCCAAATTGGTGTGAAGGATATGCTCATCTTTCGTTTGATAGTTTACAAATTCCACGCCTGGGTGTCAGCATCACAGAATGAGCACTGCACTATTCCTGCTGCAGTACTGGTACGCAGTATTTTTCATCCCTGTGCTTACGAAATCTGAATGTTGCAACTTACTCTGCGGGGCACAATCGTCGAGAAAATGACTGAGGAGACTTGGATGGTGGTATTCTAACGGGACATTGAAGGAAAGACCCAGAAGTCAACAAAAAAAGCGTTTGG